CCCCGCCCCTCTAGCGCCCTTGCCCCGTATGAGTGGGTTATTAAAACGCCGGGGTTGTGCCGGCGCGCCAAAGTGGGTCCGGTTTGGGGCCTCAGGGTTACACGATTGCTTGTGACTATCCACGTGCCGCGCGCACCGAGCGCCCTTCAGCGCCTCCCAGCTCCCGATGCTGTAGCGTCGCTGGGGTGCGCGGAGTCCCCGGGCTCCCTTGCTCGGGCGCGAACCCCTGCCCCCAGCGGCCTGGGCATGACCTAGGGGCGCTGGGTATAGCGGCTTCCCGCAGAGTCGTTACGTGTACCGGCTTCAGCATGAAGACCCTCATAGCCGCCTACTCCGGGGTCCTGCGAGGTGAGCGCCGGCCGGGCTGCCCTAGAGAGAGCTCTGATGGCGGGTCTGGGCTGTCGTGGGAGGGGGCTTGGCGATGGGGCGAGAGGCTGGGGGATCAGCTTGTCACCGCCCAGGGGGCTGCAGGGCCTTTCGCGCTTTCGTCCCGGGGTTATGAAGCTGCAAGAAGGTTTTGGGGAGGGGGCGGGGGGGGAAGCTGTGATGGAGGGCTCTAAGGCGACGGGAGCGTGTTCCCACTATGAGGTTGTGCTGCTAAGGACTGGCCGCTGTGCAGTTAAGGTCCCAACCCCTTTTCTTTGGGGAAAGCTTGCCGCCCCAACCCCCTCATAGATATCATCTAGGTCTGGGATGAGGGAAGAAGAATGGTTACCTAGTCCGATCCATGTATCCTGGCATGGTAGTCAAGTCTGGGTTCATCCTCCACGCTAGCATTCGTCAGTAATTCAGTATTTGCAACCTCTGTTACATCCCTTTCCTTCCCCCAGCTTGTTTTTCTCATCTGTGAAACAGGGGTGATATTTGACAACTCATCTCCAGCCCCTGCCTTGTTGGTGGCCCCTGGCAGTGCCCTCCCCTCAATCCTCACCAGGCAGAGCAAGGGAGAGAGACTGGATGGGGCAGAGCGGCAAGGGTTTTGCAATCCCCCCGACACAACAACCAGAGAACATGCCTGACTGGGGCAGGTGTGCCCACACTGTCCTCTACCCAACACCCATCCGCCAGGCCAGGCCCTGGGGCCCACTCAGAAGCAACTATGAGCCTGGCACCTTAGAAAGTGGGTGCCCTTCAGTGTGGCCCAGGCCCCTGGAACTGAATCAGGGGCAGAGTGGAGATCAGACTCCAGAGCTTTTCCCCCTCAAGGAAGAGCATCCCTTCCACCTCCCACATCACCCCCACCCCCCACCCCACCCCATAGCTGGAGAAACTGAAGTTGGAGAAGTGCATGACTTGCCCAAGGTTTCCTTAACAAATGCCTTGGCCGTGGGATTAAACACGAATCTGGGAGACCCTGGGAAGTCCTCACAGCTGTCCTGGTCTGAGTGTCTGTCTTGCTTGAATCCTCCCTCCCTCCCTCCCTCCCTCCCCCTAAGTCTTTATTCTGCTGAACCTGTCCTACTTAGGGTTTTTCTTTAGTGACTAACAATCGTTTACTCCAGCCAGCTTCATTATAAAAGTAAAACATAATTATTAGAATTTTGAAAAATATAAAAAAAAACAGAATGAAAATAAAAATTGCTGGTATTGACTATCCAAAGATAGCGTTCTATTGCCATTTTAGTATATTCTTTATAATTATATATATATATATATATATATATATATATATATATATATATATATATAGTATAAACTCAAGGACATGCTCTAGATATAGTTCTGAATCCTGTTTTCTCCCTCTTGATGTTCCATCATGAGTATTTCCTTCTGTTATTCAAAATCACTTACAATATTCTAATGGCTATATCACAGTTTAACCGTGTCCTGGCATTGTTGTTCTCTGTGTGACTGTTGCTATGTCTGCCCCTATTGGTTTGGGTGCTGTTTGCCCTTGGAGAAGTACTGAGCCGCTGTCGCCATCTCTCGGGAGGCAAGCTGCCTGAGCTGCCCCACGCACCTGGTCCAACAGCCCCTGACAGCCCCTTCTCTCACCTAAGAATGCTGGTCTGTTCCCTCAGGTTATGAAGCTACCAGAAGGTTATGAAGGCTCATAAGAAGGGAAGAAAGGGACTTATCCATATTCAGGCTTTTAAAAATGTGTTTGTCTCCAGGAATGGGCCAGGGGTGCTGTCTGTGCTAGTCCTTCCTGGTGCCCCCCCTTCCGTCACCTCTGCTGTCTATAGACTGGGAGCTGTATCTTCCAGGAGCCAGTGACCCTGACTCTGAGTTTGTTATTTAGGAGGACGTCTAGGGAATGATTTTGACCAAGTGACTTAATATCATATCAGGAGCATTCCCCCGTGTTGTTATCAGATCTTGAAAACATTTTTGTTTAATTGGCTGCAAAGAATTCCATCATGGGTTATAGCAAGGGCTGGTATGACATGCAAACCAATCAATTTAGCTCTGGATCTGCTTTGGTGAAAGACTGGGTGGGGTAGGGGAGGGTGCTGAAGCAAAGTTTGTGTTATCTGGGCATCTCCATTAGACCTGCTTTCTACATCCTGGGTCTTTGACAACACTCCCCAGTAGCCTGGTTTGCCTCTGTAAATAAGGTTCCACTGCTGTGAGGCGGTGAACACCCTGTTAGTGGCCGTATTCAAGGAGAGACCATGGATTCTGTGAAGGGAAGTCCTGCAATGGGTGAGAGATTGAATAGATTCCTTGGTGTCTGGTTTCTTGACTAAAAGGAGAGTGCTGCTGTGGGAGCATGGGTACGTGGGTGTCCGTTTAGGGGGTGGGGGGCGTGTGTGTTGACAGGTTTTCATCTCTGACGGACTATTCTGTGCCTGCGTGGAGGCTGCAGAGTTGGTCTCATTTGCATCTCTTCCTTTGCACCTGGACGGGAGGCTCTTCAGGTGAGAGCCCTCTGATGCCTGCCTATATCTCCAGGGTGCGACCCACGGCCCAGCACGAGATGGTGGCAGCTCCAGTAAAATTCTAAGCTGATTTGTTTTGTGTGGCTCCAAAGAGCAAGACCAGGAACAAAGGGACTCTGGGGGCAGGTTTTGACATAATGGAGGAGTTCTTTCTAACAGCTGTTGAAGACTGCGACAGGCTCAGGGTGGGTGAGGGTGGAGCTCCCCATCACTGGGAGGATGCAAGTGGGCACTTGGTGGGGAGTAAAACTAAGGCTGGATTGTGGGGGGGATACCTCTAGAGCTGACGGTTGATAGTTGCCTAACCCAGTCAAAAATTATGGCACGAGAACATCATTCATGTTCCCTTCTCCTCCTTGTTTGTAGCTTTCCCCCTGCCCTGTCCCACTTCCCCAACTGCACAGAGGCCAGTGTGGGGTTATCTGGGCTACCAAGGGCTCATCTGGGCTGGGAAAGAAGGACCAAGACGAATATTTATTAGCAGGTTGGGTGAGTCAGTAACCAGTGTGGAAATCCTGCCCCACCCCCATCCTCCCACCTCCAAATTCAGCAGCAGTTGCTTGAGTCATAAAATCATAGCTATTTGTTAACACTGGATCGGGCCCAGCCCTTATGCTACAGACGGGGCACTGAGGGCCCCAGAGAGAAGCCTCGGGTCCAGAGCTATCAAAGCCAGGGTTAGAACCCAGGTCCACCTCCCAGTCTGTGACTTGCTTCCTTAATCCAAGAGAGAAGTACAGGGAGGCGGCAAAGGGCTGCGCACAGGGCTCTGGCCGCTGTAGGTACAGCAGTTTCTAATTTTCATGATGTGGTGGCAGATCACACCTCCCAGGCTTTTTCAGGAAGCCCTCCCACCCCAGCTTGCTCTGACAGCTGGGGACACCACCAGCCCCCAGAGCTTTGATGCCAGCTGAACTGACAGTTGCCCCACATCCTTGTGGCCACGAAGCCCCACGTGAGCAGCTCCACTGCTTCATGACCTCATTCCTACCATGTCGTGTGCCGGAACTGCTAGTGTCTTCCTGTTCCTGCAGCATTCCCCCAATTCAGTCCTATCTTGCTCAGGGTTTTTTTGTTTGGTTTTTTATCATATATATATTTAATTGATTTCAGAGAGGAAGGGAGAGGGAGAGAGAGATAGAAACATCGATGATGAGAGAGAATCATTGATCGGCTGCCTCCTGCACTGCATCCCTCACACTGGGGATGGAGCCCATGACCTGGGCATGTGCCCTTGACTGGCATCAAACTCAGGACCCTTCAGTCCACAGGCTGATGCTTTATCCACTGAGCCAAGCCAGCTAGGGCTTGCTCAGGATTTTTGTGCTGCCCTTCTGCCCAGATCTTTGCATGGCTGGCTTCTGATCAGTCTCCTCAAAGGCCTTTTCTGACCATGCCATCTTGGGAGTCCCCACAACTTGTTTGATTTTTTTTTTTAATAATCCTTTTCATTACCTAAATTATCATGTGGACTTAATCGTGTAGGTCACTGTCTCCTCCATAAGAATGTCAGCGCCTTGGGAACAGGGACCTTGTCTGTCTTCCTCAATGTTGTGTCCTCAGCATTAGCACAATGCCTGGCATGTGGTAGGTGCTCAGAAAATATTTGTTGAATGAATGAATCATTAATGGGCCCTCGGCTCTCTTGAGAGCTGCCCTGTTCCTCTTGGCAGGAAGCTCTGCTTGTAGCCTCTGTGGTTCCTTGATCGGTCCTCAGGCCTCCTCTTTGTCCACCTGTGCTGGGGCTACAGCTCTCTCCTGCCCTGGAGATACCCACAATCTCATGAGAAGCTGGATCTAGGGCTCAATATAAAGTAGGTAGAGCCGGCTTGCCATGGTCCCCCTCATTGCTTCCAGGGCTTAGAAGCCAGAGAGCTAGAATTCCAGCCCTGGCTTCCCCCTGGGATGTGACTGGCAGCTTACTTCCCTTCTGGGGATCTCACTCCCCGTCTAATAGAGGATCAGAAATCTCAAGCTCTCAGAAAGTGAGAGTTTGAGTGAGCGTGGATGGTAAGTGCTCTGTAAACCAACTTGTGACTCTCAAGTTAGTCCTTGTCTGTCCTGTGTGACTGTGTGCGTGCAACAGGCCCCAACACTATGGAGAGTAGCAGGCTCTGCTGGGGCATCCAGGAAGCTTCACCACGGTGGGGACCGTGCGGTTTATTGATGGAGCACCTCTGAGCATTTGACTCTGTACTGCATACAGGTCGGTCAGCCCTGGTCTCTGCCTTTGAGGAAGTGAGACTGAGGGGTTGGGGGGGGGAAAGGATGTATAAAAGATGACTATACAGTGACAGGGAAGGGAGCAAGGGGAACTGGGAGGCCTGAACGTGAGGGTGGGGCAGCTAAATCATCTTGGGGCCAGGGAAGGCTTTCTGCAAGAGGACATTCAGTCTGTATCCTGAGAGATGAATAGGCATTAGCAAGGCAGGAAAAACCATTCAGGATTCAGGTATAAACAGAGCA